AAGGACAAACAAGCAAAGCCATCAAGTAATGCCATGAGGTGACTCAAAGAATGCCTCTATCTTCCCATAAACATCCATTGTCTATTTCTGTAGGCAGAACGCGACTCGTTCTTAAAGGTCTCGAACATTATCCCCACAAGTGGAAAGGTTCAGGGGAAGCGATGGAAAGAGTAAAAAAACAAGAGGGGAAACGAAATTTTGGTAGCCGGAGACAGTTCCAGGAGTCCTCAGCCCAGGTCAAGATTTACCTGGTTAGGGTTAGCCAGGGAAAATTCACAAGGGTCCGGGTGTAGAACCAACTATAGCACAAAATAGTATGACACATACGTTCAAGAGTACTGCTACCTTAAACCTTAAACTAGCGAAAGGAAGACGGCCGAGGGCTAGGAGTGGGAGGAGGAGGAGGAGGAGGCAGCCAGGTCTTCCAATGGGTTAACCCGGGTCGAAAAAAAGGGCCGACCCAACCCAACCCAGCCCAAGAAAGGAAAGCCCGGGTTAACACAATGAACCCAGTGGGCCGGAGCACAAAAGAAAAGGAATTAAATATATATTATCATTAGTATGCAATAAGTATTAGAATACAGATAGGATATTTCTCATCTTTCGAATACTCAGAACAGGTGACAATCCAAGAGCGCTAATCAATTTTCCGCCTAGCTTTTCACCATATGATCTCTATTGGAACACGCTTCTTCTTGGACCTTTCTGCGAAAGGCAAATACCATTCCAGGATTCCGCGTGCTCAGATTCCAGTTTCCATAGTGATCATGACTTAAAGTATCGTAAAAATTAGGAATGAGACAAAACATTCGCTAGGTTCGCCGGGTTACTCGGGCCTGTCACCTCCGAACCCGACCTAGCCGGGGCTTGCTCTAAGGCGAGCCCAACCCAATGTACCCAGCCCGGTCCAACGAATAGCCCGGGTTAACCCAACGAAGCCCCGACCCATTGGAAGGCTTGCCCGACAGACGGACAGGAAACTTGGGAGCTCTCTCAATAGTAGATAGGATTCAGGTAATTCTACTTCTGTTGCGTGTAACTTATGCTGGTATAGAATGGTGGA